GTGCAAAAATGTCCAGACCCAAAAAAAAAAAAAAAACAGGGATGGGGGTGGGGGTTGTTGGCAGGCACTTACCTGCTTTGCACTCTGTAGTTCAGGCAGCAGAGCACGTGTCTTGCAGCAAATCAACCAGCACATTTAACTGGCAGACATGCAGAGTTGCAAACAGTGCAAAGCAGGCACAAGACTAAAGAAACAGAGAAATTTTTTTGAAAAAAGACTAAAAAGTATGATTAACTTTGAACTTTGAACTTTGGATTTAGTAATTTAAGTTCATAACTTCATATATAACTTAAAAGTTTGAACTTCGCAGTTCAATCCAGAACGTCAGAGTCTTCAGACTGGCAGCACTGTCAGTGCTCTCTCTCTCTCTCTCTCTCTCTCTCTCTCTCTCTCTCTCTCTCTCTCTCCCCAACGGGCAGCAGCAGCGGGCGCCACGTCGAAACGGCCGCTTTGAAATTGCTCGGGCCTGTGCGAAACCCGCCACCTCAAAAACCTGCAGTGTCTTGTGTCTGGACCTCTAGGCCATGTCCGGTGGGGTGAAAGGACACTTAAAAATCACCCCGTTATTTTTCGAGGGGCGGCTAGGACCCGACAAACGTCCTGGGCCGCCCCATTTTTTTTTTTGATTTTTGGCCCAGGGGCCTCCATCCGGACATGGGGACCGGACACCGGACTGTCTGGAACCCGGTCCGGACGTCCGGGCGGTTACCATGAATTGAATGGACCACAAATAATGACAGACTGGATGACATGTTGCACTTTCGAGTGCAAGGAAACAGGAAGAAATACCAACAAACTTTTTTGTCTTTTATTGCGGTCGTTAGCTGACCTGTTACATGTGGTATTCCATGGGAGGTTATTTTTCTTGCGCTGTGTCCAATGACCCACACGGTTGCAGTCTCAGAACTCTACACTTTTTTAAGGAAAGCCCGTCCTGTTAATCTGTTTGCTAAGAATTCCAATCCCCAGTCTGTTTGCTGTATTTTTCTTTCTTTTTTTCTTTCGTTTTTTTTTTTTTTTTTTTATTTGGACCATTTCT